GCTCCATTCCCAACATTCCTGACCCAATTCCCACGATTCCCAACTCAATTCCCAACATTCCCAACCCAATTCCCGCCATTCCCAACCCAATTCCCATCATTCCTGACCCAGTTCCTGACATTCCCAACCTAATTCCCAACCCAATTCCCAACATTCCCAACCCAATTCCCATCATTCCCAACCCAATTCCCTCTATTCCCAACCCAATTCCCGCCATTCCCAACCCAATTCCTGCCATTCCCAACCCAGTTCCCATCATTCCTCACCCAATTCCCACCATTCCCAACCCAATTCCCGACATTCCCAGCCCAATTCCCGCCATTCCCAACCCAATTCCCGACATTCCCAACCCAATTCTCATCATTCCCAACCCAATTCCCGCCATTCCCAACCCAATTCCCGACCCAATTCCCGCCGTTCCCGACTCATTCCCGGTGTTCCCCCAGCCCGGCGTTAGGAGCTGATCCCTGTTGGAGGTGTTGGAGACCCCCATGCCCGTAGGTAGGTGCTGGAATTCGGGAATTCCCACCCCCCCCTTCCCCTCTCCCGGGATTTGGGAAGTGCCATCCCGTGGGAATTGGGAATGCCACCTTCCCCCTGGAATTCTTGGGTGGGATTCCCGCTCCAGGTTCTTCGGGGGGAGGTTGGGAATTGGGGGGAGGTTCCCAATTCCTGATCCCCTGGGGATGGACTTGGGAGGGAGTTCCTCGCTGAGGGATTGGGAAGGGGGTTCCTGGATCAGGGATTTGGGAAGGGGGTTCCCATCCCACGTCCCTCCAACCTGGACTGGTGGAGGAGAGATTCCCATCCCTCCTTCCCAAGGGGTGGATTGGGAAGGGGATTTTCCTTGCTCTTGTTCCTGGATAACAGGTTTGGGAGCGGAATTCCTCAGGGATGGAGTGGGGAGGGAATTCCTGGTGCTTTTGGGATGGAATGGGGAGGGAATTCCTGGTGCCTCTGGGATGGAGTAGGGAGGGAATTCCTGGATGGACCAGGGGGAGGGGGGTTTTTGCCCCCTATTCCAGGACCAGGCAGGGTTTCCCCCCCCTCCCTCCTTCCCTGGGATCCCAGCCCTGATCCAGGTGCCCCTCCCCGCTCCAGGTGCAGCTCCAGGTGCAGCTCCAGGTGCAGCTCCAGGTGCCCCTGCCCGGCTTGGGCTCTGAGATGGCGACCCCGGAGCCCCCCCTGGGCGGGACCCCCCGGCCCGGCCCCTCTCCCGGCCCCGGCCCCTCCCCGGGCTCCATGCTGGGCCCCTCCCCGGCCCCTCCCCGGGCTCCGGACACTCCGGACACTCCGGACACCTCCCGGCACCGGGATACGCCCCGGACCCCATCCACCCCCTGCACAAGGTGAGGCCTCCCGGGAGGAGGGAGCACTGGGAAGGGCTGGGAGGGCACTGGGAAGGGTTGGGAGGGCACTGGGAGGGCACTGGGAAGGGCTGGGATGGCACTGGGAAGGGCTGGGAGGGCACTGGGAAGGGCTGGGAGGGCACTGGGAAGGGCTGGGGTGGCACAGGAAGGGCTGGGATGGCACTGGGAAGCGCTGGGAGGGCACTGGGAAGGCTTGGGATGGCACTGGGAGGGACTGGGAGAGCACTGGGAAGGCACTGGGAAGGGTTGGGAGGGACTGGGAAGGGTTGGGAGGGACTGGGATGGCACTGGGAAGGGTTGGGAGGGACTGGGATGGCACTGGGAAGGGCTGGGATGGCACTGGGAAGGGCTGGGATGGCACTGGGAAGGGCTGGGAGGGCACTGGGAAGGGTTGGGATGGCACTGGAAGGGTTGGGATGGCACTGGGAAGGGTTGGGGTGGCACTGGGATGGCACTGGGAAGGGCTGGGAGGGACTGGGATGGCACTGGGAAGGACTGGGAGGGCACTGGGAGGGGCTGGGAGAGCATTGTGAGGGCACTGGGAAGGGCTGGGAGGGCACTGGGAAGTGCTGGGATGGGGGGGGGGATGTTGGGAGCTGTGGGAAGCTCCCCCCTCCTGAATTCCCGGGATTTTCCCCCTGGCAGCCCCTGGATCCGCTGCACGAGAAGGGCCTGGCCGAGGATCCGCGCTTGGGACCATGAAGGGGATGGGGCTGCGGCCGGGGGGGCACGCGGGGATGGGACCCCCCCCCAGCCCCATGGACCAGCATTCCCAAGGTCGGGAGCGAGGAGGGGGCAGGGCCGGACCCTGGATGGGGGTTTGGGGGGGAATTCATCCATCTGGGATAAATCCCGGGGTTTGGGGGCGGGATTTGATCCTTCCAGGGGATCTCCAGGTCCAAATCCTGGGGTTTGGGGGCGGGATTTGATCCTTCCAGGGGATCTCCAGGTCCAAATCCTGGGGTTTGGGATCAGGATTTGATCCTTCCAGGGGATCTCCAGGTCCAAATCCCGGGGTTTGGGGGCGGGATTTGATCCTTCCAGGGGATCTCCAGGTCCAAATCTTGGGGTTTGGGGATGGGATTTGATCCTTCCAGGGGATCTCCAGGTGCAAATCCCAGGGTTTGGGGTGGGATTTGATCCTTCCAGGGGATCTCCAGGTCCAAATCCCGGGGTTTGGGGGTGGGATTTGATCCTTCCAGGGGCTCTCCAGGTCCAAATCCCGGGGTTTGGGGAGGATGGAATCGCTCCAGGATTAAATCCTGGACTTGGCGGGAGGATTTTGTGGCTCCAGAGGATTCCAGGATTAAAACCTGGATTTGGGGCATGATTTAATCACTCCAGGATTAAACCCTGGATTTGGGGATGATTTAATTGTTCCAGGATTAAAACCTGAATTTGGGGGATGATTTAATTCCTCCAGGATTAAACCCTGGGTTTGGGAAGAGAATCTCATCGTTCCAGGGGATTCCAGGATTAAACCCTGGATTTAGAGGAGTGATTTGATCCCTCCAGGATTAAATCCTGAACCTGGAGAGGGGAGAGTTTCATCATTCCAGGATTAAACCCTGGATTTAGGGGAATGATTTGATCCTTCCAGGATTAAATCCTGGACCTGGGGGATAACTTAGTGCCCCCATGATGAACCCCTGGATCTAGGGGGGCCGATCCCATTCCTCCATCCCTCCCCCCTGGATCTGGGGGGCCGATCCCATCCCTCCATCCCTCACCCCTGGATCTGGGGGCTGATCCCATCCCTCCATCTCTCACCCCTGGATTTGGGGGGCTGATCCCACCCCTCACCCTGGATCTGGGGGGCTGATCCCACCCCTCCCCCCTGGATCTGGGGGGGCCGATCCCATCCCCCCACCCCTGGACCTGGGGGGCCGATCCCATCCCCCCACCCCTGGATCTGGGGGGCTGATCCCATCCCCTCCACTGACCCCTGGATCTGGGGGGCTGATCCCATCCCCCCACCCCCCCCTGCACCTGGGGGTGTGAGATCTCCCCATCCCCTCCAGCCCCTCCATGTCCCCTCTCCCCGCAGGGTACCCGTCCCCGCTGGGCGGTTCCGAGCACGCCTCCAGCCCGGTGCCGTCCAACGGCCCTCGAGGGCTCGGGGCGGCTCGGGGGTCCCTGGAGGGCGGCGGGGCGGGGGCCGGGGCGGAGGCGCCGTCGCTGGGCCCGGGGGCCGGGGCCGTCTCCGTTCAACGCGCGCAGCTGCACCAGCTGCGGCGCAGATCATGGCCTACAAGCTGCTGGCGCGGGGCAGCCCCTGCCCGAGCACCTCCAGGTGGCCGTGCAGGGCAAGCGGCCCCTGCCCGGGATGCAGCCCCAGATCCCCAGCGCGCTGCCCCGCCCCGCCCGCCGGGCAGCGCCGACGCCGCAGCCGCCGGAGCCGCCGAGCGCGGCACCGCCACCGGGTACTCCAGGCCCCACGGTGAGGGGGCACGGAGGTGGGGGAGAATCTGGGGGAAAATGGGGAGATCTGGGGGGAAAATGGGGTGGGGAGAACCTGGGGCGAACGTGGGGAATCTGGGGGGAAAATGGGGTGGGGAGAATCTGGGGGACATGGGGAATTGGGGAAATGGGTGGGGAGAACTGGGGCAACATGGGGATGGGGAGGAAAATGGGGTGGGGAGAACTGGGGAGGTGGGAACTGGGGAAATGGGGTGGGGAGAACTGGGGGTGGGAAGCCGGGGGAAATGGGGTGGGAGAACCTGGGGGAGAGTGGGGTGGGGAGGACTGGGGGAGGACTGGGGAAAGTGGGGAACTGGGGAGAAATGGGGTGGGGAGAACTGGGAGGTGGGAATCGGGGAAAATGGGGTGGGGAGAACCTGGGGAGGTGGAATGGGGAGATGGGGGAGATCTGGGGAAGTGGGGGAATTGGGGAAATGGGGTGGGGAGAACCTGGGAACATGGGCGGGGGAAAGGGTGGGGAGAACCTGGGGCACATGGGGAATCGGGGGGAAATGGGTGGGGAGAACCTGGGGGAAATGGGATGGGGGATCTGGGGGGAATGGGTGGGAGAGAACCTGGGGAACATGGGGAATGGGAAATGGGGTGGGGAGAACCTGGGGAAAGAATGGGGTGGGGGAGAACTGGGGAAATGGGGATGGGGGAGAATGTGGGGGAGCCGGGGAATGTGGGGAATCTGGGGGAAAATGGGGTGAGGGGAGATCTGGGGGAGGTGGGGATGGGGGATCTGAGGGGATGGTGGGGTGGGAGGAACTGGGGGACATGGGAATAGGGGATCTGGGGGGAAAATGGGGTGGAGGAGAACCTGGGGGCAATGGGAATGGGGGATCCAGAGGGACTTGGGGGCAATTTGGATGGGGGCAAATTGGGATGGGGGATCCAAGGAGAGCTCTTCCCGTTCCATCCCGGAATATCCCCGGGAAGGGCCTCCAGAAGCTCATCCCGTTCCCTGCCGGGTGACCTCCTCCTCCTCCTCCATCCCCACCGGGAATCTCCCCTGGGAATTGGCCTTCTCACGGGATTTTCCTCTTCTGTTTTTGTTTCCCTGCTCTCTGGGAATTCCCAGGGATGGGAGGGCCCAACATGCCCCCGCCCGGACCCTCAGGAGTTCCCCCCGGAATGCCGGGACAGCCCCCCGGGGGCCCCCCCAAGCCCTGGCCCGAAGGTGAGACCCAAAATCCTGGGAATTCAGCCCAGATCCGCCAGCAAGGGCTGAGCTTGGGGGGGTGGGACCAAAGGGAATTCCAGGGTTCCAGCCAAAGGATTGGAGTTTTTTTGGGAATTGGGGTTGAGTTCCAGCCAAATAACTGGAGGATTTTTTTTGGGGGGGGGGAATTTCCAATCAAATAGTTGGAGTTTTGGGGAAAGGGGGATAAACATAAACGTCCAGCCAAATAACTGGAGTTTTCCAGGGATTTGGGGGTTGATTTCCAACCGAGTAACTGGAGTTTTGGGGCTTAATTTCCAACCAAGCAAGTGGTGTTTTTTAGGGATTTGGAGTTAATTTCAAACCAAATAACTGCTGTTTTTAGGGAACTGGGGGGTAAATTCCAGTCAAACAACTGGTGGTTCTTAGGGATCTGGGGGATAAATTTCCAACCAAACAACTGGAGTTTTTTAGGGAGAATTTGGGGTTAATTTCCAACTGGATAACTGCTGATTTTCAGGGGTTTGGGTTTTAATTTCCAGCCATATAACTGCTGATTTTTGGGGACGTGGGGTTAAATTCCAGCTGGGTAACTGATGATTTTCAGGGATTTGGGGTTTAATTTCTAACCATATAACTGCTGATTTTTGAGCACGTGGGGTTAATTTCCAACTGGATAACTGCTGATTTTCAGGAATTTGGGTTTTAATTTCCAGCCAGATAACTGCTGTTTTTTAGGCACGTGGGGTTAATTGCCAGCTAGATAACTGACGATTTTCAGGGATTTGGGGTTAATTGCCAGCTAGATAACTGACGATTTTCAGGGATTTGGGGTTTAATTTCCAGCCAGATAACTGCTGATTTTTGGGCACGTGGGGTTAATTTCCAGCTGGATAACTGACGATTTTCAGGGATTTGGGGTTAATTTCCAGCTGGATAACTGCTGATTTTTAGAGATTTGGGGTTTAATTTCCAGCTGGATAACTGCTGATTTTTAGAGATTTGGGGTTTAATTTCCAGCTGGATAACTGCTGATTTTTAGAGATTTGGGTTTAATTTCCAACCAGATAACTGCTGATTTTTGGGCACGTGGGGCTGATTTCCAGCCAGATAACTGCTGTTTTTTAGAGATTTGGGGTTTAATTTCCAGCCATATAATTGCTGATTTTCGGGGATTTGGTGTTTAATTTCCAGCCAGATAACTGCTGGTTTTTGGGTACGTGGGGTCAATTTCCGACCAAATAACTACTGTTTTTTAGGGAATCAGGGCTTTTTGGGGGCTCTGGGGGTAAATCCCACCCCCATAACCGCGCTCAGGGGGGAGCGTGGGGAGCCGTCCCCCCTCACTCCCCTCTCCCGTCCCCCCAGGGCCGCTGTCGGGGGCGGCGCCGGGCGGGGCCCCCCAGAAGCTGCTGCCGCCCCCCGCTGGGCCCGCCCCCGCCCCGCGGTGCGCCGCGGCGTCCTAGGACCCCCGCCCTCCCGGGGCAGCAGCGCAGCCCGCCTGCCCCATAGGCAGAACAGGATCACCCCATCCAGAAACCGCGCGCGCCTCGACCCGTGGAGATCCTGCAGGAGAGGGAGCTACAGGTGGGGACACGGGGGATATGGGGAATACAGGAATACAGGGGGGACATGTGGGATTACAGGAACACGGTGGGGACATGGGGGACACAGAGATTCCAGAGAATACAGGAGTACAGGGAATACAGGGGGCGACAGGTGGGGACAGGGGGACACGTGGGATATGGGGGATTCCAGGAACACAGGAGTACAGGTGGGGACAGCGGGGGAACAGGGATACGGGGTCAGGGAATACAGGAATACAGGGGGGACACGGGATTCCAGAACACAGGGGGGACACGGGATACGGGGCACAGGGATTACAGGAGAATACAGGGAGCAGGTGACAGGGGACAGGGATTCCAGGAATACAGGATACAGGTGGGACACGGGGAACAGGGAATACAGGGGGACACGTGAGATTCCAGGGAATACAGGGCACAGGATACAGGGATTCCAGAGAATACAGGGACAGGTGGGACAGGACACAGGGAACACCAGGATTCCGGAATACAGGGGGGACACGGGGAATACCAGAGGATACAGGGGACATGGGGATTCCCGAACACAGGGGGACACAGGAAATACAGGGAGGACAGGTGGGGCACGGGGAGCTGGGAGGACAGGGGGACACGGGATATGGGGGGACAGGGGATTCCAGGAATACAGGGAGTGCAGGTGGGGCACGGGGATCAGGGAATACAGGGAGGACAAGTGGGACAAGGGAATACAGGAATACAGGAGCACAGGGGGACATGGGATTCCAGGGAATGCAGGTGGGGCACAAGGGGCCGGGGATACAGGTGACATGGGGGAGTTGGGAATGCAGGAGGCTACAGAGGGACATGGGATTCCAGGGGGTACAGGTGGGACAGGGGCATCAGAGAACACAGGGAGAACAGGGGGACACGGGGAACTGGGAATACAGGGAGCACAGGGCACATAGGGGATTCCAGGGAGGACAGGTGGGACGCAGGACGCGAGGATTCCAGGAGCACGGGTGGGACAGGGTCCGGACTCAGGACAGGTGGACATAGAGGATGGACAAGGATTCCAGGAGCACGGTGGGGACAGGGTTCAGGGGACTCCAGGAGCACAGGTGGGACCGAGGATGTGAGACCCAGGAGTACCGGGTGGGGACAGGTCTAGGGATTCCGGTCCTGGGGAGCAGGATTCTGGGATCTTGCCCAGGAGGCGCCCGAACCCAGCCTCCAGGGGTGCCTCATCCCTTTGTCCTGAGATCGGACAGCGGGGTTCCTTTCCTGGGAGTTTCCTCCTGGCCTCCCCTGGCCCCATCCATATCTGTGTCCCCAAAACCCATCCCAGTGTTCCCAGTGCCCTCCTCCTAGCCCCTGCTGGGATCCAGGTGGGAGGAGCCGAACTCATCGCGCAATCCTCCCCACCCCCTCAGGCTCCAGGCCCGCACGCCCACCGCATCCAGGAGCTGGAGAACCTGCCCGGCCCTGGCCGGGGACCTGCGCACCAAAGCCACCATCGCAGCCTGGGCTGGCCCTGCGCCTGGCCAACTCTCCAGCGCCAGGTGGGTGCCGGGAATGGCCGTGGGAATGGCCAGGAAATGGCCGGAATGACATTGGGAATGCCGCAGGGCATGGCTGATCCTGTGTTTTCCAAGGGCTGATCCAGCACGATCCCGTGGCCTTGATCCTGTTCTCCCTGGGGCTGATCTTCACCGATCCCGTGTGGCTGATTCCCTTTTCCTAGGGCTGATCCCACATTCCTAGGGTTGTGGCTGATCCTCTATGTCCCCAGGGCTGATCCTACATGACTCCTGTGGCTGATCCCTTTTCTCCGGGGCTGATCCCATGTGATTCCTGTGGCGATGATCCCGCTTTCCTGGGGCTGATCCCGTGTTTCCAGGGGCTGATCCTACATTCCCTGGGGTCTGATCCCACATCTCCCTGTGCCCGATCCCACATTCCCCGGGCTGATCCACGTAGCATCCCGAGGCCGTGTCTGATCCCATTCCCCCTGTCAGCCCACATTCCCTGGGGCCGATCCCACATTTCCTGGGTCTGATCCCCCGCGTTCCTGAGACGTGTCTGATCCCACATTCCCCACGTCTGATCCCACATTCCCGGTGGCTGATCCCATTTTCCCAAGGCCGTGGCTGGTCCGTTTTCCCTGGGGCTGATCCCACATTCCCCTGTCTGATCCCACATTCCCGCCTGGCTGATCCCACCCACATTCCCCGAGGGCTGATCCCACACGATCGATGTCTGATCCCATTCTCCCCTGTCTGATCCTACATTCCCCAGGGGGCCGATCCCACATTCCCCGGGGAGCCGATCCCCCCGTGATCCCGTGGTCTGACCCCGTCTTCCCGAGACGTGGCTGGTCCCATTCCCCCTGGGGCTGATCCCCGCATCTCTCCGAGGCTGATCCTACGTGTCTCTCTGAGGCAGTGTCACGAGTCCCCACATTCCCGGGGGCTGATGCCGCACGATCCCGGGGCTGATCCTACATTCCCGAGGCTGATCCCCCACGATCCCGGTGGCCGATCCCACATTCCCTGGGGCTGATCCTGTGTCTCACGTGGCCGTTCGATCCCGCTTTCCTGAGGGGCTGATCCCCCACGATCCATGGCTGATCCCCACATTCCCCGGGGGCTGATCCCCACGGTCCCATGGCTGATCCCGTGCCCGAGGGCCGGTGGTCTGATCCCCCACGATTCCCTAAGCTGGTCCCACTTTTCTCCGGGGCTGGATCCCCGTTCTGAGGTCCGTGGCTGACTCCCACATTCCCCCGGGGGCCGATCCCCCACGATCCTCATGGCTGATCCCACATTCCCCTGGGGGCTGATCCCCCACGGTCCCATGGCTGATCCCACATTCCACAGGGGCTGATCCCCACAAGGCCGTGCCTGATCCCACTTTCCTGGGGTCTGATCCCGTTCCCGGCACAGCTGCGGCAGGAGGTGGTGGTGTGCATGCGTGAGGCGCGAGGCGCTGGAGACGGCGCCAGCGCCCAAGGCGTACAAGCGCAGCAGCGGCAGCCGCTGCGCGAGGCTCCGCATCACCCGAGAAGCTGGAGAGCAGCAGAAAGATCGAGCAGGAGCGCAAGCGCCGCCAGAAGCACCAGGTCATGGGGATTACAGGGAATACAGGGGATACAGGGAGTACAGGTGGGGACAGGGGGGACACGGGGGGACACCGGGATTCCAGGGAATACAGGGGGGAACACGGGGATTCCAGGGAATACAGGGAGGACACGGGGAATACAGAGGATACAGGGGGGACATGGGGATTCCCGGGAATACAGGGGGGACACAGGAAATACAGGGAGGACAGGTGGGGCACGGGGAGCTGGGAGGACAGGGGGGACACGGGGATATGGGGGGGACAGGGGGATTCCAGGGAATACAGGGAGTACAGGTGGGGCACGGGGATCAGGGAATACAGGGAGGACAAGGGGGACAAGGGGAATACAGGGAATACAGGGAGTACAGGGGGGACATGGGGATTCCAGGGAATACAGGTGGGGCACAAGGGAGCCGGGGATACAGGTGGGACATGGGGGGAGTTGGGAATGCAGGGAGTACAGAGGGGACATGAGGATTCCAGGGGATACAGGTGGGACAGGGGTATCAGGAAATACAGGGAGAACAGGGGGGACACAGGGGGAACTGGGAATACAGGGAATACAGGGGGACACATGGGGATTCCAGGGAGTACAGGTGGGACATAGAGGGATGCAAGGATTCCAGGGAGTACGGGTGGGGACAGGGTTCAGGGGATTCCAGGGGTGCCCCCATCCCCTTTTCCCCATTCCTGAGATCCAGGGGGACGAGCGGGGGGTTCCTTTTCCTTGGGAGTTTCCTCCTGGCCCTCCCCTGGCCCATCCATATCTGTGTCCCCAAAACCCATCCCAGTGTTCCCAGTGCCCTCCTCCTGCCCCCAGCTGGGATCCAGGGTGGGAGGGGAGCCGAACTCATCCCGAAATCCTCCCCCCCCCCCTCAGGCTCCAGGCCCGCATCGCCCACCGCATCCAGGAGCTGGAGAACCTGCCCGGCTCCCTGGCCGGGGACCTGCGCACCAAAGCCACCATCGAGCTCAAGGCCCTGCGCCTGCTCAACTTCCAGCGCCAGGTGGGTGCCGGGAATGGCTGGGAATGGCTCTGGGAATGGCTCTGGGAATGGCCGGGAATGGTGCTGGGAATGGTGCTGGGAATGGCCAGGAATGGCTCTGGGAATGGCACTGGGAATGGCGTTGGGAATGCCGCGGGGGGCGTGGCTGATCTGTGTTCCCCTGGGGGCTGATCCCACATTCCCTGGGGCCGTGGCTGATCCCACATTCCCCCCGGGTTGGGGCTGATCCCACATTCCCTTGGGGGCTGATCCCACATGATCCGGGGGCTGATCCCCTTTTCCTGGGGGGGCTGATCCCACATTCCCTGGGTTGTGACTGATCCCTCATTCCCCTGGAGGCTGATCCCATTTTCCCAAGGCCGTGGCTGATCCCGTTTCCCTGGGGGCTGATCCCACACAATCTCATGGCTGTTACCATGTTCCCGGGGACTGATCCCACGTTTCCCTGGGGGCTGATCCCGTGTTCCTGAGGCCGTGTCTGATCCCACATTCCCCCCTGTCTGATCCCACATTCCCTGGGGGCCGATCCCACATTCCCCAGGGGCTGATCCCGTGTTCCTGAGGCCGTGTCTGATCCCACATTCCCCCCTGTCTGATCCCACATTCCCTGGGGGCCGATCCCACATTCCCCAGGGGCTGATCCCGTGTTCCTGAGGCCGTGTCTGATCCCACATTCCCCCCTGTCTGATCCCACATTCCCCGGTGGCTGATCCCATTTTCCCAAGGCCGTGGCTGGTCCCGTTTTCCCTGGGGCTGATCCCACATTCCCCCCTGTCTGATCCCACATTCCCTGGGGGCTGATCCCACCCACATTCCCCCGGGGGCTGATCCCACACGATCCCGTGTCTGATCCCACATTCTCCCCTGTCTGATCCCACATTTCCCGGGGGCTGATCCCACATTCCCGGGGGGCTGATCCCACGTGATCCTGTGGCTGATCCCGTTTTCCCGAGGCCGTGGCTGGTCCCATTTTCCCTGGGGCTGATCCTGTTTTCCCGGGGGCTGATCCCGTGTTCCCGAGGCCGTGTCTGATCCCACATTCCCTGGGGCTGATCCCCCACGATCCCATGTCTGATCCCACATTCCCTGGGGGCTGATCCCCCACGATCCCATGGCTGATCCCACATTCCCCGGGGGCTGATCCCCCACGATCCCATGGCTGATCCCACATTCCCTGGGGGCTGATCCCCCACGATCCCATGGCTGATCCCACATTCCCCGGGGGCTGATCCCCCACGATCCCATGGCTGATCCCACATTCCCCGGGGGCCGATCCCCCACGATCCCATGGCTGATCCCACATTCCCTGGGGCTGATCCCCACGTATCCCATGGCTGATCCCACATTCCCGAGGGCCGATCCCCCACGATCCCATGGCTGATCCCACATTCCCTGGGGCTGATCCCCCACGATCCCATGGCTGATCCCACATTCCCTGGGGGCTGATCCCCCACAATCCCGTGTCTGATCCCACTTTCCTGGGGTCTGATCCCGTTCCCCGGCACAGCTGCGGCAGGAGGTGGTGGTGTGCATGCGGCGGGACACGGCGCTGGAGACGGCGCTCAACGCCAAGGCGTACAAGCGCAGCAAGCGGCAGTCGCTGCGCGAGGCCCGCATCACCGAGAAGCTGGAGAAGCAGCAGAAGATCGAGCAGGAGCGCAAGCGCCGCCAGAAGCACCAGGTCTGCCCCGGTTTGGGGGGGATTTTTGGGGTGGAGGGGGCATTTTTGGGGTGGAGAGGGCAGGAGGGGGGATTTTTGGGGCAGAGGGAGGGGTTGGAGGTCGACTCTGGGTTGGGTGGTGGTGGCTGAGGGGGGTGGGTGATGGTGGGGAAGGGTTTGGGGGTGGGTGTTGGGACCACCCAGTGAGCATTGGGACCGTTCAGCGACTCTTGGGATCGCCCAATGGTTTTGGGATCCTCCAACGACCTTGGGACCGCCCAGTAACTACTGGGACGCTCCAATGCATGTTTGGATTCTCCAATGGCTTTGGGGCCACCCAATGGCTGTTGGGACCCTGAAGTGACTGTTGGGACCCTGAAGTGACTGTTGGGACCCTGAAGTGACTGTTGGGATCACCCAATAACAATTGGAACTCTCCAATGACTTTGGGATCCTCCAATACCTGTTGGGACCCTGCAATAACTTTGGGACCACCCAATGACCTGTTGGGACTCTCCCAACAACCACTGGGACCCTCCAGTGACCATTGGGACCCTTCAGTGACCATTGGGGCCACCCAGTGACCATTGGGACCCTCCACTGACCATTGGGGCCACCCAGTGACCATTGGGACCCTTCAGTGACCATTGGGGCCACCCAGTGACCATTGGGACCCTCCACTGACCATTGGGACCCTTCAGTGACCATTGGGACCCTTCAGTGACCATTTGGGCCACCCAGTGACCATTGGGACCCTCCACTGACCATTGGGACCTTCCACTGACCATTGGGACCCTTCACTGACCATTGGGACCACCCACTGACCATTGGGACCACCCAGTGCCTGTTGGGGCCACCCAGTGACCATTGGGACCCTCCACTGACCATTGGGACCACCCAGTGCCTGTTGGGGCCACCCAGTGACCATTGGGACCCCCCAGTGACAGTTGGGACCCTCCAGTGACCATTGGGACCACCCAGTGACCATTGGGACCACCCAGTGCCTGTTGGGGCCACCCAGTGACCATTGGGACCCCCCAGTGACCGCCGATCCCCCCCAGCCCCGGTGCCAACGCCCCTGTCCCGGTGTTTTTTCCCCCCCCCCCCAGGAATACCTCAACAGCATCCTGCAGCACGCCAAGGACTTCAAGGAGTACCACCGGAGCGTGAGCGGGAAGATCCAGAAGCTGACCAAGGCGGTGGCCACGTACCACGCCAACACCGAGCGCGAGCAGAAGAAGGAGAACGAGCGCATCGAGAAGGAGCGGATGCGACGCCTCATGGTCGGGAAACGGGGGGAAAAAGGGGAAAAAGGGGGAAAAAGGGAGGGCCTGGGGGCTCAGGGGCATCGAGGGGGGGTCAGGGGACCCTCCTCTGCTCCGTGGGGTGAGGGGGAGGGCCCACGGGGTGGGATTTGGGGGGGGATTCTTCCTCCTCTGCACGGGGTGGCCGGGATGCGCTCTGGGTGTTCCCAGGGGTGTCCCAGGGGCTCAGGGTGTGTCCCAGGTGTGTCCCAGGTGATCCCAGGGGCTCAGGGTGTTCCCAGGGGTGTCCCAGGGGCTCAGGGTGTGTCCCAGGTGTGTCCCAGTGACCCCAGGGGGTCAGGGTGTACCCCAGGTGTGTCCCAGGGGCTCAATGTGTACCCCAGGTGTGTCCCAGGTGACCCCAGGGTTGTCCCCAGGCTGAGGATGAGGAGGGGGATGTTCAGGGTGTACCCCAGGTGTATCCCAGTGGCTCAGGTGTACCCCAGGTGACCCCAGGGCTGTCCCCAGGCCGAGGATGAGGAGGGGGGTGTTCAGGGTGTATCCCAGGTGACCCCAGGTGTGTCCCAGGGGCTCAGGGTGGATTCCAGGTGGATCCCAGGGCTGTCCCCAGGCCGAGGATGAGGGTGTTCAGGGTGGATTCCAGGTGTATCCCAGGGGCTCAGGTGTACCCCAGGTGTACCCCAGGTGACCCCAGGGCTGTCCCCAGGCCGAGGATGAGGAGGGGGGAGTTCAGGGTGTACCCCAGGTGTATCCCAGGGGTTCAGGGTGTACCCCAGGGGCTCAGGGTGTACCCCAGGTGTATCCCAGGGGCTCAGGTGTATCCCAGGTGTGTCCCAGGTGACCCCAGGGGCTCAGGGTGGATCCCAGGTGACCCCAGGGCTGTCCCCAGGCTGAGGATGAGGAGGGGGGAGTTCAGGGTGTACCCCAGGTGACCCCAGGGCTGTCCCCAGGCCGAGGATGAGGAGGGGGGAGTTCAGGGTGTACCCCAGGTGACCCCAGGGCTGTCCCCAGGCCGAGGATGAGGAGGGGTACCGCAAGCTGATCGACCAGAAGAAGGACAAGCGCCTGGCCTACCTGCTGCAGCAGACGGACGAGTACGTGGCCAACCTGACGGAGCTGGTGAGGCAGCACAAGGCGGCCCAGGTGGCCAAGGAGAAGAAGAAGAAGAAGAAGAAGAAGGTGGGAGGAAGGAGGAAGGAGCAGCCCCGGGAAGGGCGCCGGGAGCGGCTCCCAGAGGGAGCTCCGGGGCTGCCGACCGGGCTGAGCTTCTCTTTCCTTCCTTTTTTGTCTTTTTTTGGCTTTTTTTCCTCTTTCTCTTCCTTTTCCTTCCTCCTCCTCCCGTTCCCGCTCCTCTCCCTGCCCCGCTGTCCCCGCAGAAGGCGGAGAACGCCGAGGGTCAGGCCCCGGCCATCGGCCCCGACGGGGAGGTGAGTGCGGGTTCCTCCCCCCGGGATGGGAATTCCCAATCCCCAATCCCTGCTCCAATCCCAATCCCTACTCCAATTCCCAATCCCCAATCCCTGCTCCAATCCCCAACCTCCAATCCCTGCTCCAACCCCCAATCCCTGCTCCCATTCCCAATCCCTGCTCCAATTCCCAATCCCCAATCCCTGCTCCCATTCCCAACCCCCAATCCCTGCTCCAATTCCCAATCCCTGCTCCCATTCCCAACCCCCAATCCCTACTCCAATTCCCAACCCCCAATCCCTGCCTCCAATCCCAATCCCTGCTCCAATCCCCAACCTCCAATCCCTGCTCCAACCCCCAATCCCTGCTCCCATTCCCAATCCCTGCTCCAATTCCCAATCCCCAATCCCTGCTCCAATCCCAATCCCTGCTCCAATCCCCAATCCCTGCTCCATTCCCAATTCCTGCTCCAATCCCCAACCCCCAATCCCTGCTCCAATCCCCAATCCCTGCTCCAATTCCCAACCCCCAATCCCTGCTTCCATTCCCAATCCCTACTCCAATCCCCAACCTCTGCGATTCCTGGTTCCCAGCCCCCAATCCCTGCAGTTCCCAGTTCCCAATCCCTGCAGTTCCCGGTTTCCAATCCCTGCAATTCCCAGTTCCCAACCCCCAACCCCTGCAATTCCCGGTTCCCAACCCCTGCAATTCCTGGCTCCCAACCTCCAATCCCTGCTCCAATCCCCAATCCCTGCCATTCCCGGTTCCCAATTCCCAATCCCTGCTCCAATTCCCGGCTCCCAACCCCCAACCCCTGCGATTGCCGGTTCCCAATCCCTGCAATTCCCGGCTCCCAACCCCCAATCCCTGTTCCCATTCCCGGTTCCCAATTCCCACCCCCTGCGATGGCTGGTTCCCAATCCCTGCCATTCCCGGTTCCCAACCCCTGCAATTCCTGGTTCCCACCCCCTGCAATTCCCGGTTCCCAACCCCCAACCCCTGCAATTCCCGGTTCCCAATTCCCAACTCCTGCGATTCCCGGCTCCCAACCCCCAATTCCTGCTCCCATTCCCAATTCCCAACCCCTGCGATTCCCGGTTCCCAACCCCCAATCCCTGCTCCAATTCCCGGTTCCCAACCCCTGCAATTCCCGGTTTCCACCCCCTGCGATTCCCGGTGCCGCAGCCGCTGGATGAGACGAGCCAGATGAGCGACCTGCCGGTGAAGGTGATCCACGTGGAGAGCGGGAAGATCCTGACGGGCACGGACGCGCCCAAGGCCGGGCAGCTCGAGGCCTGGCTGGAGATGAACCCGGGGTGGGCAGCGGGACGGGAATGGGGCTGGGAATGTGGGATGGGAATGGGGATGGAGGGCTGGGAGCTCGAGGCCTGGCTGGAGATGAACCCGGGTGGGCAGCGGGATGGGAACGGGGATGGGGGAGTGGGAATGGGGATGGGAATGGGAATGGGGATGGGAATGGGGATTGGGGTACTGGGAATGCGGGACAGGAACGGGATGGGAAATGGGGGTGGGAACGGGGATGGGAATGGGGGTGGAACGGGATGGAACGGGGTCGAATGCGGGACGGGAGGGGGATGGGAACGGGATGGAGGCTGGGAATGGGTATGGGTATGGGAATGGGAATAGGATGGGAACGGGATGGGGACTGGGAATGGGGATGGAATGAGATGGGGATGGGAATGGGGACGGGGATGGGAATGGGCATGGGGATGGGAATATAGGATGGGAATGGGGATAGGGGGCTGGGAATGTGGGATGGGAATGGGATGGGCTGGGAATGGGGATAGGGATGGGAATGGGATGGGAGGTTGGGAATGGGGATGGGGATGGGGATGGGGCTGGGGCTGGGAATGGGGATGGGAATGGGGATAGGGGCTGGGAATGCGGGACGGGAATGGGGATGGGGGCTGGGAATGGGGATGGGCTGGAATGGGGATGTGGGACAGGAATGGGGATGGGGGGCTGGGAATGCTGGAGTTGGAAATGGGGGGCTGGAGATGGGAGTGGGGGGCTGGAGATGGGAGTGGGGGGCTGGGAATGGGAATGGGGGGCTAGGAGGGAATGAGGGGCTGGAAATGGGAACGAGGGTCCTGGGAATGCTGGAGATGGGAAAGGGAATGGGGGCTGGGAATGCCAGAGATGGGAACACTGGTGCTGGAGATGGGGGAATGAGAGACTGGGAGTGGGAATGGGAATGGGAATGAGGGGACTGGGAATGCTGGCCCCAGGAGGGATTGGGAGGCTGGGAGTGCCATCTGGGATTCCTGTGCCCGCAGGTACGAGGTGGCCCCGCGCTCCGACAGCGAGGAGAGCGGCTCCGAGGAGGAGGAGGAGGTGAGGGGGGTCCTGAGGGGGGTCCTGAGGGGGGTCCTGCCCCGCCCCGCTGGGACATTCCCGCTGGGAATGCTTGGGAAGGACAGGAAAGAGCCGAGCTCAGCAACAGCTGGGTGGCACCTCAAAAAAAACGGGATGGAGCGGGGTAAAGGGCGTTAGATGGGAAAATAGAGTGGGGTAAAATGGGATTGAGGTGTGGGATGGAAAGGGTTTGAGCTGTGGGGTAAAATGGGTTTGAACTGTGGGATGAAAAGGGTTTGAACTGTGGGATAAAAGGGTTTGAACTGTGGGGTAAAAAGGGATTGAGCTGTGGGGTAAAAAAGGATTGAAGTGTGGGGTAAAGGGAGATTGAAATGTGAGATAAAAAGGGTTTGAATTGTGGGGTAAAGGGAGATTGAAATGTGAGATAAAAAGAGTTTGAATTGTGGGGTAAAGGGGGATTGAGCTGTGGGATAAAAAGGGTTTGAACTGTGGGGTAAAGGGGGATTGAAGTGTGGGATAAAAAGGGGTTGAACTGTGAGATAAAAAGGGATTGAACTGTGGGGTAAAGGGGGATTGAAGTGTGGGGTAAAAAGGGTTTGTATTGTGGGGTAAAAAGGGTTTGAACTGTGGGGTAAGATGGGATTGAGCTGGGGGATAAAAAGGGTTTGAATTGTGGGGTAAAAGGGGATTGAAGTGTAGGGTAAAACAGAACTGAGCTCTGGGATAAAGTGGGATGAAACATTAGAATGAAACGGGATAAAAGTGGAGTGGAACGAAAGAGCTGGAAAAAGGGCATTAAAAAGTTTGGATGAAGTGGGGGTAGAAATGGGATGAAGCAACGGGATAGAACGGAATCAAAACGTGGGATAAAGTGGGGATAAGAAAATAGGGTAAAATGTGGTAAAAGCGAGTGGAATAACATTAAAAAACTGGGAAGAAAGGTGTGGAAAACGGGGCAAACCGGGATGTGAAGGTGGAACAAAGCAGCAGGACAAAAGGGGCTCCTGGTGCCGAGGGTTTCGGGAACTCCCTCTGGGAGCTCCTGGTTTCCGTCCCCATTCCAAGGGGGGGAATCCGAGGGGTGGGAGGGGCCCCGGGGTGGATTCCCCCCGGCATTCCCGGCATTCCCGGCCCCGTGTGCCGGCATTCCCGGCATTCCCGGCCCGTGTGCCGCAGGAGGAGGAGGAGGAGCAGCCGCAGCCGGCGCAGCCCGCGCTGCCCGTGGTGGAGGAGAAGAAGAAGATCCCGGACCCCGACAGCGACGACGTGTCCGAGGTGGACGCCCGGCACATCATCGAGTGAGCCCTTCCCTCCCTCTCCTGCTTTTCCTGCTCCCCCCATTCCCGGCCCCCTTTCCCTCCCGGCCCGGCTTTTCCCGGCTGTTCCCGAAAACAGCCCTGAAATTCATCGGGAAAACCTCATCAGGGTCATCCCAGCAGGAATTCCCTCACTGGGGTCATCCCAACAGGAATTCTCCCATCTGGGTCATCCCAACAGGAATTCCCCCATCAGGATCATCCCACCAGGAATTCCCTCACTGGGATCATCCCAACAGGAATTGCCCCATCAGAGTCATTCCAGCAGGAATTCCCTCACTGGGATCATCCCAATAGGAATTGCCCCATCAGGGTCATCCCAACAGGAATTCCCTCACTGGGGTCATCCCACCAGGAATTCCCTCACCGGGATCATCCCAACAGGAATTGCCCCATCAGGGTCATCCCAGCAGGAATTCCCTCACCAGGATCATCTTTCTCACCTCCCTTTTTCCTGAGCCCCCCATTCCCGGTGTTTTCCCCCAGGAATGCCAAGCAGGACGTGGATGACGAGTACGGGGTGTCTGTCCCTCCCTGAGCCCCCCATATCCCACATTTTTCCCCCCAGGAATGCCAAGCAGGACGTGGATGACGAGTACGGGGTGTCTCATCCCCCATTCCCGGTCCCTGAGCCCTGTTTTCCCCCCAGGAATGCGAAGCAGGACGTGGATGACGAGTACGGGGTGTCTGTCCCTCCCTGAGCCCCCCATATCCCACATTTTTTCCCCCAGGAATGCCAAGCAGGACGTGGATGACGAGTACGGGGTGTCGCAGGCGCTGGCGCGGGGGCTCCAGTCCTACTACGCCGTGGCCCACGCCGTCACCGAGCGCGTGGACAAACAGTCGGCCCTCATGGTCAACGGCGTCCTCAAGCAGTACCAGGTGTGGGAACGCCGGGAATCGGGGGCTGGGAATGCTGGGAATGCTGGGAATGGTGGGATGGGAATGGGGGAGCAGTGGGAACGCCGGGCCGGGCAGGGAGAGGAGGGGAGGAGTGAGGTGGGATGGGGGATGAGGAGTTGGGATTGGGGGATGAGGAGTTGGGATGGGGGGGATGAGGAGTTGGGATGGAGGGCATGAGGAGTTGGGATGGGATAAAGGGAATGAGGAATTGGGATGGGATAAGGGGCTGAGGAATTGGGATGGGATAAGGGGGATGAGGAGTTGGGATGGGATAAGGGGGATGAGGAATTGGGATGGGATAAGGGGGATGAGGAATTGGGATAAGGGGGATGAGGAGTTGGGATGGGATAGTGGGGATAAGGAGCTTGGAGCTGAGGTGGGATGGTGGGGACGAGGAATTGGGATGGGATGAGAAATTGGGATGGGATAAGGGGGATGAGGAATTGGGATGGGATAAGGGGGATGAGGAGTTGGGATGGGATAAAGGGGATGAGGAATTGGGGTGGGATAAGGGGGATGAGGAGTTGGGGTGGGATAAGGTGGATGAGGAGTTGGGATGGGATAAGGGGGATGAGGAGTTGGGATGGGATAGCAGGGATCAGGAGCTTGGAGCTGAGGTGGGATGGTGGGGAGGAGGAATTGGGATGGGATAAGGGGGATGAGGAATTGGGGTGGGATAAGGGGGATGAGGAATTGGGATGGGGGGGATGAGGAGTTGGGATGGGATAAGAGGGATGAGGAATTGGGATGGGGGGCATGAGGAGTTGGGATGGGATAAGGGGGATGAGGAGTTGGGATAAGGGGGATGAGGAACTTGGAGCTGAGGTGGGATGGTGGGGATGAGGAATTGGGATGGTGGGGATGAGGAATTGGGATGGGGGGGATGAGGAATTGGGATGGGGGGGATGAGGAATTGGGATGGGGGGATGAGGAGTTGGGATAGGATAAGGGGGATCAGGAGCTTGGAGCTGAGGTGGGATGGTGGGGATGAGGAATTGGGATGGGATAAGGGGGATGAGGAATTGGGATGGGATAAAGGGAATGAGGAATTGGGGTGGGATAAGGGGGATGAGGAATTGGGATGGGATAAGAGGGATGAGGAATTGGGATAAGGGGGATGAGGAATTGGGATAAGGGGGATGGGGAATTGGGGTGGGATAAGGGGGATAAGAAATTGGGATGGGATAAGGGGGATGAGGAATTGGGATGGGATAAGGGGGATGAGGAGTTGGGATGGGATAAGGGGCATGAGGAATTGGGATGGGAGGAGGGGAATGAGGAATTGGGATGGGATAAGGAGGATCAGGAGCTTGGAGCTAAGATGGGATGGTGGGGAGGAGGAATTGGGATGGGATAAGGGGGATGAGGAGTTGGGATGGGATAAGGGGGATGAGGAATTGGGATAAAGGGGATGAGGAATTGGGATAAAGGGGATGAGGAATTGGGATAAGGGGGATGAGGAGTTGGGATGGGATAAGGGGGATGAGGAGTTGGGATGGGATAAGGGGGATCAGGAGCTTGGAGCTGAGGTGGGATGGTGGGGACAAGGAATTGGGATGGGATAAAGGGAATGAGGAATTGGGATGGGATAAAGGGGATGAGGAATTGGGATGGGATAAGGGGGATGAGGAATTGGGATGGGAGGAGGGGAATGAGGAATTGGGATGGGATAAGGGGCATGAGGAATTGGGATGGGATAAAGGGAATGAGGAATTGGGATGGGATAAAGGGGATGAGGAATTGGGATGGGATAAAAATAAGCAGCTTGGAGCTGGGATGGGATCATGGGGATAATGAGCCAGAACTGGTGTGGAATAACGGGAATAATGAGCTGGAGCGGGAGCGGGACCAGGAGCTGGAGCTGGAGCTGAAACCAAGCCCATCCCATTCCCTGATCCGACCCCGACCCTGGTGCCGATCCCGCAGATCAAGGGCCTGGAGTGGCTCGTGTCCCTCTACAACAACAACCTCAACGGGATCCTGGCGGACGAGATGGGCCTGGGCAAGACCATCCAGACCATCGCCCTCATCACGTACCTCATGGAGCACAAGCGGATCAACGGCCCCTTCCTCATCATCGTCCCGCTCTCGTGAGTGCGGGAACGGCCCCCTGGAAACCCCCCAAAAACCCCCCAAAAACCCCCAAACCCCACCCTGTTCCCGCATTCCCGCCCTTCCTCCCGCAGGACTTTGTCCAACTGGGCCTACGAGTTCGACAAGTGGGCTCCCTCCGTGGTCAAGGTCTCCTACAAGGTGAGTGAGTTCTCCCCTTGGGGTTTCCCGGGAAACCCCCGTCCTTTCTTTCCCTTTCTTCCTCCCCTCCCCTCCTCCCGTTATCCTGGGTTTATCCCGAGGCGACTGCGGCTCTTCCCAGCTCCGAACCCTCGACATCCCGACCCCAAAACACCCCCAAAACCCACCAAACCCCCCAAGCCCCCTCCCTTGGCCGTTCCCCGCTCTCCTGGGAACCCCCCAGCCCGTGGGGCAGCATTCCCAGCTGGAATTTCGCCCCGTTCCCAGGGCTCTTCCTGGCGCCAAACCCTCAACATCCCAACCCCAAAACCCCCCCAAAAACCCCCAAACCCCTTCCCTTGGCCATTCCCCGCTCTCCTGGGAGCCCCCCAGCCCGCGGGGCAGCATTCCCAGCTGGAATTCCACCCCGTTCCCAGGGCTCTCCAGCAGCACCAAACCCTCGACATCCCAACCCCAAAACCCCCCAAAACCCCCCAAACCTCCAAACTCCCCAACCCCCTCTCTTGGCCATTCCCCGCTCTCCTGGGAGCCCCCCAACCTGCGGGGCAGCATTCCCAGCTGGAATTCTGTCCCATTCCCAGGGTTCTTCCTGGCTCCAACCCCTCGACATCCCAACCCCAAAACCCCTCAAACCCCCTCCCTTGGTCGTTCCCTGCTCTCCCTGGAGCCCCCCAGCCCGCGGGGCAGCATTCCCAGCTGGAATTCCGCCCCGTTCCCAGGGCTCTTCCCGGCGCCAAACCCTCAATATCCCAACCCCAAAACCCCCCAAAACCCCTCCCTTGGTCATTCCCTGCTCTCCCTGGAGCCCCCCAGCCCGTGGGGCAGCATTCCCGGCTGGAATTCCGCCCCGTTCCCAGGGCTCTCCGGCGGCGCGCCGCGCCTTCGTGCCGCAGCTGCGGAGCGGGAAGTTCAACGTGCTGCTCACCACCTACGAGTACATCATCAAGGACAAGCACATCCTGGCCAAGGTCAGCCCTGGGGCCTCCCAGAGGGTCTGGGGGACGTTTGGGGATCTCCCAGCTCAGGGATCTCCCAGCTCAGGGATCTCCCAGCTCAGGGAGCTCCCAGAGGATCTGTGGGATGTTTGGGGATCCCCCAGCTCAGGGATCTCCTGGAGGATTTGTGGGATGATCCAGGTGTATCCAGATCTCCCAACTCAGGGATCTCAGGGACACCTCCCGGAGGATCTGTGGGACATTTCGGGATCCCCCAGCTCAGGGATCTCCTGGATGATTTGTGGGATGTTTTGGGATCCCCAAGCTCAGAGCTGTCCCAGAGGATCTGCGGGACATTTTGGGACTCCCCAACTCAGGGATCTCCCAGCTCAGGGGTCTCCCGGAGGATCTGTAGGACATTTCAGGATCCCCAAGCTCAGAGCTCTCCTGGAGGATCTGTGGGACATTTCAGGATCCCCCAAGCTCAGAGCTGTCCCAGAGGATCTGTGGGACATTTTGGGATTCCCCAGCTGAGGGATCTCCCAGAGGATTTGTGGGACATTTCGGGATCCCCCAGCTCAGGGGTCTCCCATAGGATCTGCAGGACATTTCGGGACCCCCCAGCTGTGGGATCCCCCCCTGGGGTCGGGGCTCTCCCCCTGGGGTCGGGACTCTCCCCCCGGGGTCGGGGCCTCCCTGGGGCCGAGGCTCTCCCCTGGGGGTCGGGCCTCCTGGGGTCGGGCCTCCCCTGGGGTCGGGGCTCTCCCTGGGGTCGGGGCTCTCCCCCTGGGGTCGGGGCTCTCCCCCTGGGGGTCGGGGCTCTCCCCCTGGGGGTCGGGGCTCTCCCCCTGGGGGTCGGGGCTCTCCCCCTGGGGTCGGCCTCCCTGGGGTCGGGGCTCTCCCTGGGGTCGGGGCTCTCTCCCTGGGGTCGGGGCTGTCCCCCTGGGGCCGGGGCTCTCCCCCTGGGGCCGGGGCTCTCCCCCTGCCACCCCCCCCAGCCCCAGCATTCCCGTCCCATCCCGCAGATCCGCTGGAAGTACATGATCGTGGACGAGGGGCACCGCATGAAGAACCACCACTGCAAGCTGACCCAGGTGCTCAACACGCACTACGTGGCCCCGCGGCGGCTGCTGCTGACGGGGACGCCGCTGCAGAACAAGCTGCCCGAGCTCTGGGCCCTGCTCAACTTCCTGCTGCCCACCATCTTCAAGAGCTGCAGCACCTTCGAGCAGTGGTTCAACGCGCCCTTCGCCATGACCGGGGAGAAGGTGCGGCCTGGGGGGGCCGGGGGGGCTGGAATTGGCACTGGAGGGGATGGAATTGAACCTGGAGGGGCTGGAGGAGCCGCTGGATGGGCTGGAATTGACCCTGGAGGGGCTGGAGGAGCTGCTGGAGGGGCTGGAATTGGCACTGGAGGGGCTGGAATTGACCCTGGAGGGGTTGGAGGAGCCGCTGGAGGGGCTGGAATTGGCCCTGGAGGGGCTGGAATTGAACCTGGAGGGGCTGGAATTGAACCTGGAGGGGCTGGAATTGGCCCTGGAGGGGCTGGAATTGGCCCTGGATGGGTTGGAAGTGGCCCTGGAGCTGTGGGATGTGGCTTGGTGTCACCATTAATGGCTTTGGAGGGGCTTGAAGTGGCCCTGGAGCTGTGGGATGTGGCCCTGGAGCAGTTGGAGGTGGCCCTGGAGCTGTGGGACGTGGTCTGGATGGATTGGAAGTGGCCCTGGAGCTGTGGGATGTGGCTCAGTGCCACCTTTAGGGGCTGTGTCCCCTCTCCTGGTGCCAATCCCTTTTCCTGGTGCCAATCCCTTTCCTGGTGCCAATCCCTTTTCCTGGTACCAATCCCCTTTCCTTGGGACAATCCCTTTTCCTGGTGCCGATCCCCTTTCCTGGTGCCAATCCCCTCTCCTGGTGCCGATCCCCTCTCCTGGTGCCGATCCCTTTTCCTGGTGCCGATCCCCTCCCGCTCCGGGGCCGCTGTTGGGGTCGATCCCGCTGGGAATCGGGGGCTGGGGGTGGTTCTGGGCCAGGAGGGCCCCGCTGGGGTCCCCTCTGGTGACGTTCCTGCCGCTGGGCAGGTGGATCTGAACGAGGAGGAGACGATCCTGATCATCCGCCGCCTGCACAAGGTGCTGCGCCCCTTCCTGCTGCGCCGCCTCAAGAAGGAGGTGGAGGCTCAGCTCCCGGAAAAGGTGACCTGGGGGGGTCCCTTCCAGTGTCCCCCACCCTGGGATAACGCCCTGGGGGTCCTTCCCAGTGTCCCCCACCCTGGGATCCACCCTGGGGGTCCTTCCTGCCCTTCCCCACCCTGGGGGTCCTTCCCGGTGTCCCCCACCCTGGGATACACCCTGGGGGTCCTTCCCGCTGTCCCCTCCCTGGGATCCACCCTGGGGGTCCTTCCCGCTGTCCCCCACCCTGGGATCCACCCTGGGGGTCCTTCCTGCCCTTCCCCACCCTGGGATACACCCTGGGGGTCCCTCCCAGTGTCCCCCTCCCTGGGATACGCCCTGGGGGTCCTTCCTGCCCTTCCCCACCCTGGGGGTCCATCCACGGAGTTTCCTCCCCTGGAATGGTTGCTGGGGGGGGTTGGGTGATCCCTCAGGGGCTGGGGGCTTGTCTCTGAGTGCAGGGGTCCGTGTTTTGGGGTCCTTTGGGGGTGGGGAAGGGGCTGGGGGTCCATCCTAGTGTTCCCCAGCCCTGGGATCCTCACATGGAGTCTGGGCCGGGTAGGCTGGTCCCCAGGAGCTGGGGGCTTGGAGGGGTCCCTGGGGTCTCTGGGACCCCCTGGCTGCTGGCAGGTGGAGCACGTGATCAAGTGCGACATGTCTGCAGCTGCAGCGCGCCCTGTACCGCCACATGCAGGCCCGGGGGCTCTGGGGGGATTTGGGGGTCCCAGGGGGTCTCTGGGGGTCCCAGGGGGCTCTGGGGGTCTCTGGGGGTCTCTGGTGTGACCCCCCGGCTCCTGGCAGGTGGAGTACGTGATCAAGTGCGACATGTCTGCGCTGCAGCGCGTCCTGTACCGCCACATGCAGGCCAAGGGCGTTCTGCTCACCGACGGCTCCGAGAAGGACAAGAAGGTTCTGGGATTGGGGATTGGGGATTGGGGACTGGGGGGGAATTCCGGGGTCCAGGGCGGCTCTGGGGCCGTTTTTGGAGGGCAAAACCCCCTTGCTTTGTAGGCAAAGGAAGGGGGGGGAGGGCTGAGCTTGGGGTTCCCCCATCCCGGTGGATCCCGGGGGATCCCTGAGGGCCCTCCCGGTGGATCCCGGGGGATCCCTGAGGGCCATCCCGGTGGATCCCGGGGGGGCTGAGCGGCCCCTCGGGGGCTGCACGAGGGGAGTGAAGTCCTGGAAGGGGGGAAGGGTCGGTTGGGTCCGGAGGGAGAGCGGGAGGTGGGAAATTCCCTCTTTTCCAGCTCTGCCACTCCCGCCCCGGGGGGACCTGAGAAGCTGGGGCCGGCTCTGGGGGGATTCCTGGGAGTGCTGGGAGGGAGATCCGCCCCCATCCCGGGTTTTTAAACCCCCCCTGGGCCCCTCCCTGCAGGGCAAAGGCGGCACCAAGACCCTGATGAACACGATCATGCAGCTGAGGAAGATCTGCAACCACCCCTACATGTTCCAGCACATCGAGGTGGGGCCTCCCCGGGACAGGGGTCGGCCAGAACTGGGATCAACCAACCTGGGATAGACCAGAGCAGGGATAAAATAACCTGGGATGGACCAAAACAGGGATAAAATAACCTGGGATAGACTAAAATGGGGATAAACCCACCTGGGATGGACCAGAACAGGGATAAATGAATGTGGGATAGACTAAAACAGGGATCAACCAACCTGGGATAGACCAGAACGGGGATAAATGAATGTGGGATAGACTAAAACAGGGATAAACCAACCTGGGATAGACTAAAACAGGGATAGATGAATGTGGGATAGACTAAAATGGGGATAAACCCACCTGGGATGGACCAAAACAGGGATCAACCAACCTGGGATAGACTAAAATGGGGATAAACCAACCTGGAATGGACCAGAACAGGGATAAAACAACCTGGGATAGACCAGAACAGGGATAAATGAATGTGGGATAGACTAAAATGGGGATAAACCAACCTGGGATGGACCAGAACAGGGATAAAACAACCTGGGATGGACCAGAACGGGGATAAAACAACCTGGGATAGACCAGAACAGGGATCAACCAATCTGGGATGGACCAGAACAGGGATAAATGAATGTGGGATAGACTAAAATGGGGATCAACCAACCTGGGATAGACCAGAGCAGGGATAAACCCAGAGGGGATGAGCCCAGCCTGGGATAAACCAGAAATGAGGATAAATCCAAACAGGGGATGGACCCCGAGTGGAGGGGGTGACCCCAGCGAGGGATAAACCCAACATGAGACAAACTGGGGCTAAAACCAACCCAGAGGGGCTGAACCCCCTGGGGATGGACCAAACCCTTTAGGGCCGTGTTTTAGGGCAGTTTTTAGGGCCAGGCCGGTTCCTGACCCCTCTCTCTTCCCAAACTCCAGGAATCCTTCTCGGAGCACTTGGGGTTCACGGGCGGGATCGTGCAGGGGTGAGTGGGGGATCCAGGGGGATAGGGGGGGTAAAAGGGTGAATTCCCCAACCCCAGGACCCCGTGGATTCCCCCTCAAACAATCCCCAAATCCCGTTTTCCCCCCGATTCACCCCGATTTTCCCCCACCCCAGGCTGGATTTGTACCGCGCCTCCGGCAAGTTCGAGCTCCTGGACCGGATCCTGCCCAAGCTCCGGGCCACCAACCACAAAGTGCTGCTCTTCTGCCAGATGACCTCGCTCATGACCATCATGGAGGATTATTTCGCCTACCGGGGCTTCAAATACCTCAGGCTGGACGGTGGGTGGGGTGGGGAGCCCTGGGGGGCTTTCCTCGGGGTTGGGGGGGATTCCTGGATTTGGGGTGGGGATTCCTGGATTTGGGAGGGGTTTCCCTGGATTTAAGGGGAATGTCCCTGGATTTGGGGTGGGGATTCCTGGATTTGGGACGGGGATTCCTGGATTTGGGGTGGGGATTCCTGGATTTGAGGTAGAGATTTGAGGTAGATATCGAGATATTGAGGTAGATACCAAGATATCAAGGTGGATACCAAGATATCAAAGTGGGCATCAAGGTTCAACCCCCTGGGACCCCAAAAATTCCCCCCTGAGCCCCCAGGCCAGGGTTTAAACCCCTGGGACCCCAAAGTTCCCCCCAGGGTTTAAACCCTGGGCCGAAGTTCTCCAGCCCCCAGGCTGGTTTGAGCCCAGGTCCCCCAAGCCCCAGGCCGGTGTTTGAGCCCCAGGCCGAGGTTTGAGCCCCAGTTCCCCTCAAGCTCCCCAGGCTGCGGTTTGAGCCCCAGGCCGGGGCCCCCAAGCCCCCCAGGCCGGGGTTTGAGCCCCAGAGGGTTCCCTGAGCTCCCCAGGCCGGGGTTTGAGCCCCAAAGTTCCCCCCCAAGCCCCCAGGCCGGGGTTTGAGCCCCCAGGCCGAGGTTTGAGCCCCCAGGCCGAGGCCCAGAGCCCCCAGGCCGAGGTTTGAGCCCCAGGCCGGGGGCTTGAGCCCCAGGCCGAGGTTTGAGCCTCCCCAGGCCGAGTGTTTGAGCCCCAGGCCCCCCAAAGCCCCCAGGCCGGGTTTGAGCCCTCCAGGCCGCTCTGAGCCCCCAGGCCGGGCTTGAGCCCCAGGCCGGGTTTGAGCCCCCAGGCCGAGGTTTGAGCCCCAGGCCGGGGTTTGAGCCTCCCAGGCCGGGCTTGAAGCCCCCAGGCCGGTGTTTGGAGCCCCCAGGTCGGGGCTTGAGCCCCCAGGCCCCCCAGCCCCCGTGACCCGCTGTCCCCCCCCTGCAGGCACCACCAAGGCGGAGGACCGGGGGATGCTGCTCAAGACGTTCAACGAGCCGGGCTCCGAGTATTTCATCTTCCTGCTCAGCACCCGGGCCGGGGGGCTGGGGCTCAACCTGCAGTCGGCCGACACCGTCATCATCTTCGACAGCGACTGGAACCCCCACCAGGTACCTGCCCGGGGGCCCTGCCCCCAAAACTGACCTGGAAACTACCCAGAAACCCAAAAACTGACCCAAAAACCTGCTCTCTGACCCAAAAACTGACCCAAAAATGACCTGGAAACCCAAAAACTGACCCAGAAAATGGCTCTCTGACCCAAAACTGACCCGGAAACCCAAAAACTGACCTGGAAATGACCTGGAAACCCAAAAACTGACCCAAAAACTGACCTGGAAACCCCAAAACTGACCCAGAAACCCACCCTCTGACCCCAAAAATGACCTGGAAACAAAACTGACCCAAAACCTGCTCTCTGACCCCAAAAATGACCTGGAAACCCCAAAACTGACCCAAAAACCTGCCCTCTGACCCCAAAACTGACCCACCAACCCAAAAACTGACCCCAAAAATGGCTCTCTGACCCCAAAAACTGACCTGGGAACCAACTGACTGGCATAAAAACCAACCAAAAACCAACCCTCTGACCCAAAAAATAACCCCCTGACATAAAAAAAACCAACCCAGAAATCGACCCCAAAACAACCAACCCATCCCAAAAAAACACCAACCGACCCCAAATCCAACCAATCAACCCCAAAAAACCACCAACTGACCCAAAACCCAACCAACCAACCCCAAAAACACCAACTGACCCAAAATCCAACCAATCAACCCCAAACCCACCAACCGACCCCAAATACAACCAACCCACCCCAAAAACCACCAACTGACCCAAAATCCAACCAATCAACCCCAAACCTACCAACTGACCCAAAATCCAACCAATCAACCCCAAAAAACCAACCAATCAACCCCAAAACCACCATCTGACCCCAAAACCACCAACTGACCCCAAAACCACCCAGCCATCCCAACCCAAGGGCCCCGATCCCGCTGGTCCCAAATTTGGGGCCGATGTTGGAATTCCGTCGTCCCCCTGGCCCCGCCCCCCAAATCCCGGGAATGGGGCCGGGATCTCCCGGAAGGAGCAGCTCTGGAATCCCCCCTGGGGGGGGGGCACGTCCTGTGTGACCCCCCCGGGGGCTTTTGGGGGTAAAAACGGCGTTTTTGGGACCCCCGAGCTCCCTGGGGGTGGGCCCCGCATCTCTCATGGGGCTTTTTTGGGGGCAAACCGAGGCTTTTTGGGACCCCTCCTCCGATATTTGCCCCTTCCCGTGGGGCCTGCAGGTCCTGGTGATCCCATTATGGGATCCTCATCGTCCCTGAGGGCTCATCCCACACCTCCCCTGTGGGATTTGGGGACAAACCCAGGGTTTTTAGGACCCTTAGGTTAACCCAGGCCCTGTATGAGTCTGGTGATCCCATTGCTGAATCCCTGTTATCCTTTGGGATCCTCCTGAGTCCCTCAGGGCTCATCCCACGCCTCCCCTGTGGGATTTGGGGACAAACCCAGGGTTTTTAGGACCCTTAGGTTAACACAGGGTCTGGTGATCCCATTCTGGGATCCTCCTCATCCCTGAGCTCCCTCAGGGCTCATCCCACGTCTCCCCTGTGGGTTTTTAGGGTAAACCCAGCATTTTGGGAACAAACCCACGTGTTTTGGGGCCCCCAGGCTGCCCCTCCTGCCCCAGGACCTGCACGGTCCCGTTATGGGATCCCCGTTATCCTTTGGGATTCCCTGAGGGGTTTGGGGACAAACCCATGGTTTTTGGGGACAAACCCGTGGTTTTTGAGTCCCCAGACCCGCAGGCTTTGGCGGACACACCTGCACGGTCCTGTTATGGGATCCCGTATCCTTTAGAATCCCGTGGTTTTTGGGTACAAACCCGTGTGTTTTGGGGACAAACCCGTGGTTTTTGAGTACAAACCCGTGGTTTTTGAGTACAAACCCGTGTGTTTCAGGTTCCCTCAGGACCTGCAGGCCCAGGACCGAGCTCCCTCAGGGTTTTGGGGACAGATGAGTGGTTTTTGAGTACAAACCCGTGTGTTTTGGGGACAAACCCGTGGTTTTTGAGTACAAACCCGTGTGTTTTGGGGACAAACCAGTGTGTTTTGAGTACAAACCCGTGGTTTTTGAGTACAAACCCCTGTGTTTTGAGTACAAACCCGTGTGTTTTGGGTTCCCCCAGGACCTGCAGGCCCAGGACTGAGCTCCCCCATGGTTTTTGGGTACAAACCCCTGTGTTTCGGGTCCCCCCAGGACCTGCAGGCCCAGGACCGCGCTCCCTCAGGGTTTTGGGGACAAACCCGTGGTTTTTTGGGACAAACCCGTGTGTTTTGGGGACAAACCCGTGTGTTTTGGGGACAAACGAGTGTTTTGAGTACAAACCCGTGGTTTTTGAGTACAAACCCGTGGTTTTTGAGTACAAACCCCTGTGTTTTGAGTACAAACCCCTGTGTTTCGGGTCCCCCAGGACCTGCAGGCCCAGGACTGAGCTCCCCCGTGTTTTGAGTACAAACCCCTGTGTTTCGGGTTCCCCCAGGACCTGCAGGCCCAGGACTGAGCTCCCCCGTGGTTTTTGAGTACAAACCCGTGGTTTTTGAGTACAAACCCGTGGTTTTTGAGTACAAACCCGTGTGTTTTGAGTACAAACCCGTGTGTTTTGGGTTCCCCAGGACCTGCAGGCCCAGGACTGAGCTCCCCCGTGGTTTTTGAGTACAAACCCATACATTTTGAGTACAAACCCGTGTGTTTTGGGTTCCCCCAGGACCTGCAGGCCCAGGACCGCGCTCCCTCAGGGTTTTGGGGACAAACCCGTGGTTTTTGAGTACAAACCCCTGTGTTTTGAGTACAAACCCCTGTGTTTCACGTCCCCCAGGACCTGCAGGCCCAGGACCACGCGCACCTGCACGGTCCCGTTACGGGATCCCCGTTATCCTTTGGGATCCCTGAGGGGTTTTGAGTACAAACCCGTGGTTTTTGGGGACAAACCCATACATTTTGAGTACAAACCCGTGTGTTTTGGGTTCCCCCAGGACCTGCAGGCCCAGGACTGAGCTCCCCCGGTGGTTTTTGAGTACAAACCCCTGTGTTTTGAGTACAAACCCGTGTGTTTTGAGTACAAACCCCTGTGTTTCGGGTTCCCCCAGGACCTGCAGGCCCAGGACTGAGCTCCCCCGTGGTTTTTGGGGACAAACCCGTGGTTTTTGGGGACAAACCCGTGGTTTTTGAGTACAAACCCGTGGTTTTTGAGTACAAACCCCTGTGTTTCGGGTCCCCCCAGGACCTGCAGGCCCAGGACTGAGCTCCCCGGTGGTTTTTGGGGACAAACCCGTGGTTTTTGGGGACAAACCCGTGGTTTTTGAGTACAAACCCGTGGTTTTTGAGTACAAACCCCTGTGTTTCGGGTCCCCCAGGACCTGCAGGCCCAGGACCGCGCGCACCGCATCGGGCAGCAGAACGAGGTGCGGGTGCTGCGCCTCTGCACCGTCAACAGCGTGGAGGAGAAGATCCTGGCGGCCGCCAAGTACAAGCTCAACGTGGACCAGAAGGTGATCCAGGCGGGCATGTTCGACCAGAAGTCCTCGAGCCACGAGCGCCGCGCCTTCCTGCAGGCCATCCTGGAGCACGAGGAGCAGGACGAGGTCAGGGAGGGCTCTGGGGGATTTGGGAGGGGGATGGGGGGGGCAGGCGAAGGTTCCCGAGGGAACTGCGGGGTCAGGAGCCACCACCACGACAAAAAAAAAAAATTAAAATAAAAAAAAGGAAAAACCCCAAGCCCCAAAGCAGACCCAGACCCAAACCCAGCCCCAGAGGCAGCAGGAGGAGGAGGAGCATGTGCGGAGGAGGAGGAGGAGGAGGAGGAGGAGGAGGAGGAGGAGGAGGAGGAGGAGGAGGAGTGTGTCGGGAGGAGGAGCAGCGTCGGGACAAGGCGGGGGATTGACGGCCCTGGAGACTGAATCCCTGTGTTTATCCACAGAGCAGACAGAGCGCGGGCAGCGGCGGCTTCCCCCACGCTGCCCCCTCCCTGTGCCTGGGCGCTGACCCCGAGGAAGCACCGCTGAAGGTGAGCGGGGCCCTTCAGTCTCCACCGCACACTCAATGCTCCCGCCGGGGCCGCGCAGGCACAGGGGATGGACAGACAGAGGGACAGGGACAGACAGAGGGACAGGGACAGACAGACAGGGACAGGGACAGGGACAGATGGACAGACAGACAGACAGATGGACACAGGAGGAGGCACCGCTGAAGGTGAGCGGGGCCCTTCAGTCTCCACCGCACACTCAATGCTCCCGCCGGGGCGGCGCAGGCACAGGGGACAGACAGGGACAGACAGACAGGGGGACAGACAGAGGGACAGGGACAGACAGACAGATGGACACAGGAGGAGGCACCGCTGAAGGTGAGCGGGGCCCTTCAGTCTCCACCGCACACTCAATGCTCCCGCCGGGGCCGCGCAGGCACAGGGGATGGACAGACAGAGGGACAGGGACAGACAGAGGGACAGGGACAGACAGACAGGGACAGGGACAGGGACAGATGGACAGACAGATGGACACAGGAGGAAGCACCGCTGAAGGTGAGCGGGGCCCTTCAGTCTCCACCGCACACTCAATGCTCCCGCCGGGGCGGCACAGGCACAGGGGACAGACAGGGACAGGGACAGACAGGGGGACAGACAGGGGGACAGGGACAGACAGACAGACAGGGACAGGCACAGGGGACAGGGGCAGGGACAGACAGACAGAGGGACACAGGAGGAGGCACCGCTGAAGGTGAGCGGGGCCCTTCAGTCTCCACCGCACACTCAATGCTCCCGCCGGGGCTGCCGGACAGGCACAGGGGACAGACAGACAGACAGACAGGGGACAGACAGACAGATGGACAGACAGACAGGGACAGACAGACAGATGGACACCAGGGACAGGGACAGACAGACAGACAGGGACAGGGACAGGCCCTTCAGTCTCCACCGCACACTCAATGCTCCCGCCGGGGCCGCACAGGCACAGGGGACAGACAGAGGGACAGGGACAGGGACAGACAGACAGGGACAGGCACAGGGGGACAGACAGACAGACAGGGACAGGAGGGACAGATGGACACAGGAATGACCCCAAAGGGACAGACAGGCAGGGACGGGGCCCAGGGGGACAGACGGACACAGGCAGGGCCTGGAGGGACAGACGGACAGGAACGGCCCCAGAGGGACAGACGGACACAGGCAGGGCCTAGAGGGACAGATGGACAGGGACAGGGTCCAAACAGGGAGAGAGAGAAAGAGATGGGCAGGAATGGGGAGAAACGGCCCCAGAAATGACCAGAGGGGGAGAAAGAGGGAGAGGAACGGCCCCAAAGAGAGAGGAACGGCCCCAAAGAGAGAGAAATGGCCCCAAAGAGAGAGAAAAACGGCCCCAAAGAGAGAGAGGAACGGCCCCAAAGAGAGAGAAACGGCCCCAAAGAGAGAGAGGAGTGGCCAGGAATGAGGAGAGAGCGGCCCCAGAGCGGCCAAAGGGGGAGAAAAGTGAGGAAAAAGGAGGAAAAACGGCCCCAGAAACAGCCAAAGAGGAGGAAAAATGGCCAAAAAAAGGAGAGGATGGCCCAAAGTGAGGAAAAACAGCCAGAAATGAAAAAGAATTTGCCCCAGAAATAGGAAAAGGAGGATAAAAGTGGCACAGGAACAGCCCAAAAATGAGTTAAAAACGGCCCTGAAATGGCCAGAATGGGCTAAAACCAGCCAGAAAGTGCAAAAAAATGAGAACAAACCCGCCTGGAAATAAGCAAAAGGGGATAAAAGAGCAGAGAAACGGGCAAAAATCGGGTAAAAATGGCCTGAGAGCGGACAAAAATGAGTCAAACCCGCCTGCAAGTGCCAAAAGTGAGGTGAAACCAGCCTGGAAACAGCAAATAATGAGCCGAAAGCAGCCAAAAATTAGGTTAAAACGGCCTGAAACAGCCAAAGTGAACTGAGACGGCCCCAAAACAGCCCAAAATGAGTAAAAATGGGCCAAAAACTGCCAAAAATGAGGAAAAAAAAACCCAAACCAGCCTGAAGGCACAAAAAAAATGGGAAAACCGGAGTGAAAACAGGGCAAAAGGGAGATGAAACCACCCCAAGATGAGGGGAAACAGCCCTGAAGGGCCCAAAAAACCGCTAAAAATGCCCCAGAACGAGCTGAAAACGTCAGAAAATGAGCAAAAAGCAGCGCTGAAGCACCAAAAAAAATGAGCAAAACACACTAAAAACCCCCAAAACACCCTGAACCCACCCCAAAAAGGAGGAGAAACACCCCCAAACCGGCCCAGACGGGACAAAACGCACCAAAATCACCCGAAAAGGAGCAAAAAAACCACAGTAAACCAGCCCAAAATGGGGAAAACACCCAAAAATGAGTGAGAACAGCCCAGACTGGGCAAAACACTCCAAAACCACCCAAAAATGAGAGAAAACAGCCCAAACTGGGCAAAATGCTCCAAAACCACCCAAAAATGAGTGAGAACAGCCCAAATTGGGGAAACCACCCAAAAATGAGAGAAAACAGCCCAGACTGGGCAAAATGTTCCGAAACCACCCAAAACCGAGGGAGATCACACAAAAACACCCCAAAATGGGGAAAATGCACAAAAACAAGTGAAAAGTCCCCAAAACGGGGAAAACACCCTGAAAACACCCGAAAATGAGAGAAAACACAATGAAACACCCCAAAATGGGCAAATCCCTGTGAAACTGCCTAAAAATGGGGGAAAACGCCCCAAAATGGGGAAAGTGCCCTGAAAGCAACCAAAAATAGGGGAAAATGCCCCAAAATGGGGAAAGTGCCCTGAGAGCACCCAAAACTGGGGAAAATGCCCCAAAATGGGGAAATCTCCCTGAAAGCACCCAAAAATGGGAAAATTGCCCCAAAATGGGGAAAGCTCCCTGAAAGCACCCAAAAATGGGAAAATTGCCCCAAAATGGGGAAAGCTCCCTGAAAGCACCCAAAAATGGGGGAAAACTCCCCAAAATGGGAAAAACACCCTGAGAGCACCCAAAAACGGGGGAAAACACCCCAAAATGGGGAAAGCACCCAAAACAGGGGGAAAACTCCCCAAAATAAAGGAAAGCGCCCTGAAAGCACCAAAAATGGGGGAAAACTCCCCAAAAGGCCCTGGCAGGGCCCCCCCCCCGAGGAGGCGAAGGAGCCCCCAGGGCAGCGGCCCCAAAACGCCCGGAATTCGCCCCATTCCGGGGTGGGGAATTCCCGGGGGAGCCGCGGGCGGAGCCTCAAACCCTGAAATCCCCAAATCCCGGGATTTGGCTCTTCCAGGAGGAGGACGAGGTGCCCGACGACGAAACCGTGAACCAAATGATCGCCCGGCACGAGGAGGAGTTCGACCTGTTCATGGTGAGGGGGAGGGAGGGGAGGAAAAGGAGGGGGAAGAGCAGGAGGAGGAAGAAAAAGAGGAGGAGGAAGAGGGGGAGGAGGAAAAGAGGGAGGAAGGAAGAGAGGAGGAAAAGGAGGAAGAGAGGAGGAAGAGGAGGAAGAAAAGGAGGAGGGGGATAAAGAGCAGGAGGAGGAGGAGGAGGAAGAGCAGCAGGAGGAAGAGGAGGAAGAAAAAGGATGAGGATAAAGAGCAGGAGGAGGAAGAGAGGGGGAGGAGTGAAAGAGGGAGGAAGGAAGAGAGGAGGAAAAGGAGGAAGAGAGCAGGAGGAGGAAGGGCAGGAGGAGGAAAAGGAAGAGGAGGAAGAAAAGGAGGATAAAGAGCAGGAGGAGGAAGAGCAGCAGGAGGAAAAGGAGGAGGAGGAAGGGCAGGAGGAAGAGGAGGAGGATAAAGAGCAGGAGGAGGAGAAGGAGGAAAAGAAAGAGGAAGAAGAAGGAGGATAAACAGCAGGAGGAAGAGCAGGAGGAGGAAGAGGGGAAGAAAAAGAGGAGGACAAAGAGCAGGAGGAGGAAGAGGGGGGGAGGAGGAAAAGGAGGAAGGAAGAGAGGAGGAAAAGAGCAGCAGGAGGAGGAAGAAGAAGGAGAATAAAGAGCAGGAGGAGGAAGAGGAGGGGGAGGAAGAGCGGAGGAGGAGGAGGAGAGGAAGAGGAAGAATTCCTGGGGAGGAGGGAAGGGATGGGGGTTCTGGGGGGAAGAAGAGGGTGAGGAAGAGCAGGAGGGGGGTTCGAGGGGTCTGTGAGGAGGAGGAGGAGGAGGAGGGAGAGGGAGGGCCCGGGGGGTCTCTCCCTGTTCTCACAGGGAATGTCTGTGCCTGGAATGCCCGGGATGGGAGCTGGGGGGAGGGGGAGCACCTGGAGGAGACCCCGGGGGGCTCCCGGAACCCCCAATTCCCGAATTCCCCCCCCATTCCCAGGCCTTGGCCGGGTCTGGAGCTCCCGGAATTCCCCCCGTTCCCCAAACTCCTGCAGCTCCCAGCGGGGTTCCTTTGGCTCCCAAATCCACCCCATCCCTGATCCCATCCCTGATCCCATCCCTGATCCCATTCCTGAATCCCATCCCTGACCCCATCCCTGATCCCATCCCTGATCCCATCCCTGAATCCATCCCTGATCCCATCCCTGATCCCATCCCTGATCCCAATGCCCTGGGATCCCATCCCTGATCCCATTCCTGATCCCATTCCTGAATCCATCCCTGATCCCATTCCTGATCCCATCCCTGAATCCATCCCTGATCCCATCCCTGATCCCATCCCTGATCCCATCCCAGATCCCATTCCTGAATCCCATCCCTGAATCCATCCCTGATCCCATCCCTGAATCCATCCCTGATCCCATCCCTGATCCCATCCCTGAATCCATCCCTGATCCCATCCCTGATCCCATCCCTGATCCCAATGCCCTGGGATCCCATCCCTGATCCCATTCCTGATCCCATTCCTGAATCCATCCCTGATCCCATTCCTGATCCCATCCCTGAATCCATCCCTGATCCCATCCCTGATCCCATCCCTGATCCCATCCCAGATCCCATTCCTGAATCCCATCCCTGAATCCATCCCTGATCCCATCCCTGATCCCATCCCAGATCCCATTCCTGAATCCCATCCCTGAATCCATCCCTGATCCCATCCCTGATCCCATCCCTGAATCCATCCCTGATCCCATCCCTGATCCCATCCCTGATCCCATCCCTGATCCCATCCCAGATCCCATTCCTGAATCCCATCCCTGAATCCATCCCTGATCCCATCCCTGAATCCATCCCTGATCCCATCCCTGAATCCATCCCTGATCCCATCCCTGATCCCATCCCTGACCCCCTCCCTGACCCCATCCCTGATCCCATTCCCGGCAGATGGACCTGGACCGGCGGCGGGAAGAGGCCCCAAACCCCAATTCCCTGGGATCCCATTCCCGATTTTTCCCCCATTCCCAGCACATGGACCAGGACCGGCGGCGGGAAGAGGCCCCCAATCCCAGTGCCCTGGGATCCCTGGGATCCCATTCCCAATCCCACTCTCCCATTCCCAGCGCATGGATCTGGACCGGCGGCGGGAAGAGGCCCGCAATCCCAATGCCCTGGGATCTCTGGGATCTCTGGGATCCCATCCCTGATCCCATTCCTGATCCCATTGTTTTTCCCCCATTCCAGCGGATGGATCTGGACCGGCGGCGGGAAGAGGCCCCAATTCCTGGGATCTCTGTGATCCCATCCCTGATCCCATTCCCAATTTTTCCCCCATTCCCAGCGCATGGACCTGGACCGGCGGCGGGAAGAGGCCCGCAATCCCAATGCTCTGGGATCCCATTGCTGATCCCATTCCTGACCCTATTCCCTCATTCCCAGCGCATGGACCTGGACCGGCGGCGGGAAGAGGCCCGCAATCCCAATGCTCTGGGATCCCATTGCTGATCCCATTCCCGGTTTTCCCCCCATCCCAGCGGATGGATCTGGACCGGCGGCGGGAAGAGGCCCCAAACCCCAATTCCTGGGATCCCTGGGATCCAATTCCCAATCCCACTCTCTCATTCCAGCGCATGGATCTGGACCGGCGGCGGGAAGAGGCCCGCAATCCCAATGCCCTGGGATCTCTGGGATCTCTGTGATCCCATTCCTGATCCCATTCCCAATTTTTCCCCTCATTCCCAGCGGATGGACCTGGACCGGCGGCGGGAAGAGGCCCCAATTCCCTGGGATCTCTGGGATCTCTGGGATCCCATTGCTGATCCCATTCCCAATCCCACTCTCTCATTCCAGCGGATGGACCTGGACCGGCGGCGGGAAGAGGCCCGCAATCCCAATGCCCTGGGATCTCTGGGATCTCTGTGATCCCATTCCTGATCCCATTCCCGATTTTTCCCCCCATTCCCAGCGGATGGACCTGGACCGGCGGCGGGAAGAGGCCCGCAATCCCAAGCGGAAGCCGCGGCTGATGGAGGAGGACGAGCTGCCCTCGTGGATCCTCAAGGACGACGCCGAGGTGGAGCGGCTCACCTGCGAGGAGGAGGAGGAGAAGATGTTCGGCCGCGGCTCCCGGCACCGCAAGGAGGTCGATTACAGCGACTCCCTCACCGAGAAACAGTGGCTGAAGGTACCCCTGGTCCCCCAAAATACCCCAAAATCCCCCCAAAATCCCCCCAAATCCCCATTACAGCGACTCCCTCACCGAGAAACAGTGGCTGAAGGTACCCCTGATCCCAAAATCCCCCAAAATCCACCCAAAATCCCCATTACAGCGACTCCCTCACCGAGAAACAGTGGCTGAAGGTACCCCTGACCCCAAAATCACCCAAAATCCACCCAAAATCCCTCAAAATCCCCCCAAATCCCCCCCAAATCCCCATTACAGCGACTCCCTCACCGAGAAACAGTGGCTGAAGGTACCCCTGGTCCCAAAATCACCCAAAATCCCCCCAAAATCCCCATTACAGCGACTCCCTCACCGAGAAACAGTGGCTGAAGGTACCCCTGACCCCCAAAATCTCCCAAATCCCCCTGTACCCCCCAGGCCATCGAGGAGGGGACGCTGGAGGAGATCGAGGAGGAGGTGAGGCAGAAGAAATCCTCTCGGAAGCGGAAGCGGGAGCCGGAGGGACCCCCCGGGCCGCCCCCCGGGGCGCGGGGCCGGGACAAGGACGAGGAGAGCCGGAAGCAGAAGAAGAGGGGGAGACCCCCGGCAGAGAAGCTGTCCCCGAACCCGCCCCCCCTGACCCGCAAGATGAGGAAGATCGTGGACGCCGTCATCAAGTACAAGGACAGGTGAGGATCCTGGATATTCCCAGAGATCCTGGGGGATCCCAGAGATCCCAGGGGTTCAGAAATCATCAAGTACAAGGACAGGTGAGGATCCTGGATATTCCCAGAGATCCTGGGGGATCCCAGAGATCCCAGGGGTTCAGAAATCATCAAGTACAAGGACAGGTGAGGATCCCGGGGTTCCCAGAGATCG